TGGCTTACAACGTCCAAAATAGCTGATTGTCTCATTTACGAATCTCCTACATTCTTCTTCCTTGACAACATCGGCAGCCATTATCAACACGTTCGGAGCCCCCAGCCGTCTCGCGTTCTCGCTTATTCCTCTCAGCCTGTTTTCCCGTCGTGCGATGAGCACGAGATTTGCTCCTCGCTGTGCGTATTGATATGCGATTTGCTGCATTTTTTTTTTTTTCAAGATATCATTCAAGAGATATGCCATTTTTTGCAGTCATTGATGGCATGACAGAAAGTAAACTAAACCAAAAGGACATATCAAATGCTAATATACTCTAGCCCTGTTTCTTGAATTAGAAATATCCACTTTGTTAAACAAATAAACCTACAAAGAAAAGATAAGAATTTTTGAAAATTAGCCAAAAAAAATGAAATCTGTGTCTATAGGCGCAAATTAATTAAATGATGGCACAACAACTATAGGGTTCAACTAACTAATTAATTTTTCGGTAAGACAGGCCTAACAATACGACAATCATACTTCTTCATATATGCATAGTGTATAAAACAAACCTAAACAAAGTATGATATTTCTCATATTTCTCAATTTTAAGTATTCATCCTTTATTATCGAACCACCTAACCGTTAGGCTGGCTAACCAAGAATTTGTGGTATATTTTATTTTATTTTATTTACCTCTCCAATGCCAGAGGAGGCACCAGTGATGAGCACCACTTTGTTATCCATGTTTTCACTGTCGTAGTAACTCTTGTAAATCCTCTCGCCCGCGTTGACCAAAAACAGAGTCGGCCATGCAAAGGCCAGCATCAGCAAGCTAGCCGGCGGCATGAAAAAGTCAAGGGCGGCGTTGACCAGATTCATTTTCTCAGTGTGTGTGTGTGTGGTGTGTGCTTCGGGTGAGAAAAAGCTATGAAAATCAAGAAATTACAGAGAGATGACACGCAGAGGATGTATATGCAAAGTGAAATAAATTTTATTTTGGGTTTCTTTATTTTATTTTCTAAATTTTGGGTTACTTTTATTTTTATCTTTATTTTGTTCTGTTTGAAGAATTTGGTATATAGCGGTAGAAGATGAACACCACGGATGCATGCAGAGGTGGGCTGTGAACACGTGTTTGCTGTAAAGAGAAGATGACTGCCTAATATGGACAAGTCTCATTTTCTGATTTTATATACANTTGATTTTATATGAAAATATTTTTTTTTTTTGGTACAATGAACCTTCCGGTTTCCGAATCCCCGAGGGGACCGACTAATCCGGAATCGAGCCGGGTAGGACCACAAGGGCGGCAAAGCTCTACCTCAAGAGTTTTAACACAGCTGCATTCCCAGTGTTTTTTCTAACTCAATATTCACTATAAAATTGAATATAATTATTTGCGAGTAATTACTTTATTTACAACATGAATAATTTATTGGCATCCAAATAGTGACGTGGTTCCCATACGTGAACTTTATTATGCCTAGCACGTTTAAAATTTTGAAGCTTTCAAAGAGTGGGTATTTATTTATTTATTTATTTATTTTTAATTCAGAGTGTAGTTGACGTTAGCAAGTTAATAAATTATCTAAATCATAATTAAATGCTTAATAATTATAATTTAAAAAATTAAAAACATCACAAGATCAATAGATTCAACTAAAGCACAAAATCTTATGTCACTACCAAAAATCAATCATAAGAGCGTTTTCAGAAGGAGAAAACGAAGAAGAAGGATTTATAGTGTTTTGATTTTATTTAATTTTTATTTCTGTCAGTCAAAATTTTCAAAGGTAAGTGATATGAAAACTTTTTGAATCTTGCAAAACCAATGGCCTAACGCATCTTTAGCTGCTCACTAGTCCCGTATTTTTCTCACCCTTTCATAAAATAAAACTAAAATTGTTTTTTAAAAAAAATCAATAACTTAATTTTATTTTCTTNAAACACACAAAAGTTAACAACCTTTTCTTTTCCTGAGAACCCAAAATCTTCCATTAGCACACCTTCAATTACCCATCTTCTGACCAGAAACTCTTTGCATAGATTCATAGAAATATATATACATTATTGTATTTTCTGTATATATATTCATATTCTTCATCACAGCCCCCCAAAAGATATGTTTTATGATTTAATGCTGGATTCTGGTCTGGAAGTTTTTTGAACTTGTTCATATTCTTCTTCCTCATCAAATACTTATATTAATTTCCTTCTAATTTTTATTTTTATTTATTTATTTTTTTCTAATAGGGATATATATCCCTGCATTTTTATCAAGTTATGTGATTAATGCATGAAGTTTCAATTATCCATTTTTTAATCAGCAGCCTGATTTTTGGAATTCTTGGTGACCCCAGAGGAGGAAGATCATTTTCCCCCATTGTGTCTCTTTTGAGGCCACAATGCACTTTTTTTCTATAAATTCAGGGCACAAAGGCTGAGTTGTGCAGATCAAGATTACATTTTTCCAGGAAAAGAAAAGGAGAAGAAAAATGGGCTGCCTTTGTTCGAAAGCATCGAACGCAAACGATTACGTAGCCGAGTTCGAAAAGCAAAAACAGAGTGAACAGAGCAAATCCTCGTCACATGCGATCGTTCCTTTGAAAATCGACGAGTCTTCAACCGGTAGATTGGTTTCGAACAATAATAACAATAACAATAATAATAATAATATTCGGAATGAAGGTTCTCTTCATTCGGGTTCCAAGACAAGAACCGAGTCGAATAGCGGTGGTAATAATAATGTCCCGGTGGAAGAGAATGCCAAGACAATATTTATCGAGAGGCCTGCAAGTGGGCACCGTCGTGGCTCGACCATGGATTTGGGCGCGTTTAATGGGATGCAGCAGACGATGACTAGGATCGTCAGCATGCCACATGGCACCAAAGGTGAACAGGTGGCAGCCGGGTGGCCGTCCTGGCTGGCGTCGGTTGCCGGTGAGGCTATCAAGGGGTGGACCCCACGCAGCGCGGATTCGTACGAGAAGTTGAACAAAGTCAGTTTTTTTTTTTCCCTCTTTTTTTCCCTCATTTTCTTCTTTTATGAGTTTATTTAACCCGTAAAGATTCGGTCTTTTTGATGCAGATTGGGCAAGGAACCTACAGCAGCGTGTACATGGCTCGTGACTTAATAACCGAGAAAATCGTGGCCATGAAAAAGGTGAGATTTGTGAATATGGATCCGGAGAGTGTCCGTTTCATGGCTCGGGAGATATGTATCCTGCGCAGGCTGGACCACCCGAACGTGATGAAGCTCGAAGCTTTGGTGACTTCAAGAGTGTCCGGAAGTTTGTATCTCGTGTTTGAATACATGGAGCACGATCTTGCCGGCCTCATCGCATTGCCAAAGGCTAAATTCACCGAACCACAGGTCTTCTATATCTTTCTCTTCTTCTCATCACATGACTTACTATAGAAATATTAGTCACAACCCACAAATCAGAAATCACACCCTCAAGGGATGCACTTTAGAGGGTTCTATGCAATTTTGAAATGTCATTTGGGGTCAAATTAGCAAAATTGGGTCTTGCTGATGATGATGTGGCAGCAAGAAAAAGAGACCTAGTTTCTTTGCATTGGAGTTATTTTTGTTACTTTTATATATTTTTGTCCATGTCATCCAAGACTTAGGTCTATTTACATGCCACGTAAGCAAAATTAGATCCAAAGCATTGCAAATACTCTTATATGACTATTGACTTCTTTTTCCTTGTGTGATTTGGTTGCAGCTAAAGTGTTACATGAAGCAATTGTTGAGAGGACTCGAGCACTGCCATAGCCGGGGTGTTCTCCATCGAGACATAAAGGGTTCGAATCTGTTGGTCGACAATAAAGGAATCCTTAAAATCGGGGACTTTGGTCTCGCCACATCATTCGAGCCTGGACAAAGTCAACCGTTGACCAGTCGGGTCGTGACTCTTTGGTACCGTGCACCCGAGCTTCTGTTGGGCGCTACTGAGTACGGACCGGCTATTGATTTGTGGAGCGCCGGCTGCATTCTTGCCGAGTTATTCGCCGGAAAACCCATCATGCCCGGAAGAACAGAGGTATTTTTTTTAAAAAAAAAAAATACAAAATCAGCTTATTTTGTGAATAATAATGAGTGAATAGAATAAACGACGATGCGCATTTTACAGGTCGAGCAAATGCATAAGATATTCAAGCTGTGTGGCTCGCCTAATGAAGCGTACTGGAGGAAAGCTAAACTGCCGCACGCGAGTAGTTTCAAATCACAGCCTTTGTATAAACGTCGAGTGTCCGATACGTTCAAGGAATTTCCTTCTTCGGCTTTGGCCCTTCTAGAAGTCCTCCTTGCTATTGATCCAGAAGAGAGAGGCACCGCCACATCAGCACTCGGTAGCGAGGTACATTTTCCTTTCCTACTTTCAGTCCAATAATATAAGGGAGTGTTTGAATTTTATTTTTTATTTTTTATTTTTTTAAAAACACAGTTCTTTACGAAGAAACCTCTGCCATGCGATCCGTCGAGCTTGCCTAAGTATCCTCCGAGTAAGGAACTCGATGTCAAGATGAGAGAGGAGGAAGCGAAAAGGTAATAACATTATTTTATCGTAACTAATTAATGCTGTGTTATTTTTTTACCATAAAAAATTTCTAATATTTGGTCTTTATATAGGCGAAAAGACGAGAGTCTTAAAGGACGTGAAGCGGGCGCAAGAAACAGTTCGCGTAAACATACCGCTGTCCCTGATGTAAAGGTTCCTCTATCTACTCAAACCCTTTTAACATCAAATAGAAAAATGTTGCCTCAATCCTTTTATCATAATCATCGATAAAAAAAGCAGGGAAATTCAAACAAGAGCACGAGCTATAAGTACAACCTGCAGGAGGAAAGTGGCTCCGGGTTCCCGATCGAGCCTCCGAGAGTGAATTTGAAGAAAGGGTACTATGATCATCGTTCGAGCTCGGTGATTCACCCCAATGTGGTGGGACATTCTTGGAGTGAAAAGCTTAGAAATGATAGCTCGGGTCATTCCGTTCAAATTCGAACATTAAGCTCTTCTCAACATGGGAGGCAAGGCTCTCAAGTACATCCGTTGATTGCGGATGTGCCAGATTTCAACGGCAAGGATGTGGGCCGGGCGTCTAATAACGACTCCATAGTATGTTTTTCTGAATCTTGATTTTCTGTTTTTTTCTGTATGTGAATGAATGTGTGGTTGATTTTTTTCTAATAGGATCTTTTAAGCACCTATGACCTAGCTACATTTAGCCAAAATTTAGTGAAAAGAAAGTATGGCCCTCCTAAATTTCAGGGCTACGTGCCGAAGAAAAACAGGATGCGTTTTTCGGGACCACTGATGCCGCCAGGGGCAAATATGGACGAAATGCTTAAAGAGCACGAACGGCAAATCCAAGAGGCGGTACGTAAGGCTCGTCTAGAAAAAGTCTGGACAAACAAGAACTTGAACGTTGAGTAGAGGCTATTATGAGATTTAAGTCTGACTAGTGTGTGTGTGTTGTGTGGGGTGCTTCTCTGTCTTGTTTTAGTGTAGGGAAATTGTGGATGCAGCTGCAAACTATGTTCAGTTTGGGTTTTAAGGCATTATAGTTTTTGTTCAATGAAAGACTTTATGAAGAGGGGTTATAGAGCAAGGGGCAAACTCTGTGTTCTGACTTCTGAGTGCGACTTGTGTCTATATGTTGAAGATGAGAATTGTCTTTTGCATAGTGTACAGTGTTACTTTGTTTCAACATTTGGAGATANCATTCAAATGAGTTGTTTCTTGGCAAGAATATTTCATTATAATATACCACCTCTCAGATTTGACCAAATGTGCATTTAAGTGTGGTTCAGTTAATCAGTTTGGTTTTCTAAGGCATAAAATTTTCGGTTCGATTTTCCTCTACACTGCGGTGTTGTTCGATTATTATTTCACAAGTGCGGTTGTCGGTTTTGTCGGATCTGGAAAGTGGTGGTTCGAGCCCAGCTCTGTGTGCATTTCAGCGTAACTCAATTCAGTTATTTTGGGTGTAAAAAAAATCAGTTCGATTTTGATTTAGGTTTTTTCTATGTACGGGTGCATATAAGTGTTATTATTATTATTATGATTATCATCATCATCATCAGAATGACGGTAATTGGAAAATATAGCCAACTTTGATCAAATTTATAGAACAGAAAAATATGAGCAAAACTACAACATAAAGTTCATAAGCCGCCATTAAACCAATATTTTTCATATCATACGTCCCAGTAAAGTACAAGAGTTAACATAANATTTATAATTCGAGGTCATCCATGGCTGACCTCAATTTATAGAATGAAATAAAACTACATATCCTGCTTCGGCTTTCGGCTCAGCTCTGAATAACGGCCCCCCATCAGCTGCAAAATCTCCCCCCACAAATCATCAGACCACGAAGAGATCAAATTCGCGCTGCAAGCAGCCAAATACCAGTAACCGGACTCGATTTCCTCTATGAGCTGGTCCATCTGCCAGCCGGCATACCCCAAAAAGAAACTGAAATCCCGCACCTCAATAATCCCCTTCTTAACCAGGGCTGATGCCTCATCCAGACTGTTTCTCGAACCCAAGTACAGCCCAGGAATAACCTCCTCGAACCCGTGTGGCCCGATTCTCTCGTGGGCCCTCAGAAGGAACATGCTTGCTTCGAGTGGCCCACCAAAGTGGAGGGAGCAGTCTGCAAAGGTGGCCCGATTTTTCATCTTCTTGTCGAGAGGCCTGTTGACGATGATTCCGTAAGGTATCTCTTGGTGGTTTTCGGTTTTCGAGTGGAGGAGGAGGATCACCGTCCGCTCGAAGGTTCGGTCCCCGTCGAGCTTCTCGGTAGCCACGAGGAGGCAGCCCTTCTCGGGGGCTGAGATGGGGTGGGCCCACTTGTCGGGAAAGGGTTTGGGTCGGGCTGGGCCCACTTCTCGTCGCGCGTAATCTGCATTTTCGGTCTAGGGGAATGTATCTATATAAGCATGCGTAGGGATCGGCTCTCAAAATCAATACAATCAAGACGGGTTTTCTATCGAACAGAATGGCATATATAGTTTCCTAATCATAAAATGATGAAAAATAAACGCAAGAGTGATAATTCCATCCTTCAGCAGTCAGCACATACCTTAAAGATGGGATTTTATTCAACCTTCATGTTTCTAAACAATTAACAGAAAAGTTAAAATCAAATCAAAGGAGGAAAGGTTGTTCACATTTTTCGAGGCTCATCAGGAAGAAGTAAATAACTATATAAAGCTCAACAATTGGAGAAGGAAGCAATTAAAAACAGAAAAATACCTGCTCCTGAATGTAGAGAGACGCTCTAAACTCTCTCCAGTCCAAGGGTTTACGTTGGGACTTATCACCAGATTTGTCGTTGCTTTTTAAGCCATCTCCTCCACCTTAAATGTATCATTTTTCCCCCGCGAAATCAAATGAATTACAATTAGCAAGAGCAGTTTTTAAGCGCTATATAATTCGTGCCAAAAGCACAGAACAGGATCTGACAGTAAGGATAGATTTTACACTTTATCACAAACATACAACAAAGTATCTACCGGCACAAGCCAGTAACTAGAGATAAATCGTGGTAGCTACTAAATAGTAAGTGGCAGAACTCATCCATCCTAACAGATGAACTTAACAAGTAGCCGAAAATTTAAACAACATTTTCACTCAATCGTTTGAGTCACAATATTTTTTACTGCTATTCATATAAATTCATATTGATACATCCTGTCATGAAGAATATTGGGATGCCTCCACTATTTTTCCAAGCGACGTTGTAATGGACACACGTAATAAACAAATTATGCAAGTAACATTGCGGTTTTTCACTAAGCCTTAGGATTATTCTTCTCCTTCTACGCACAGTAAGGAGCCCAACAATGTTTCATGGGGAAACAAATTCCAACAACACAGTCTAAATCAAAACTTCCATTAATCAATAAATCCTAGTTCTCTAAGCATACAAGCTCCTGGACGGAATTGCAAACACTCCTCAAATCTAAACTACACTGCGATGTTCTTAATTGCTGGCAAATAACGAATTCTCATGATCGGCAAAAGTTCATCTACACACAGTAAAAATTTCCCTAACTGAAAGAACACAGATTTGCACAGCATACCAGAGCCAGAAGAGGAATTTGAATTCGAATTACTGAAATTCCCCGAATTCTTCCTCGCCATGGCTTTGATCAACACCGATCGATGCCTAAAATAGCTGGGCAGAGCTTCCCACCTCGAAGCCCTAATTTCCATAGCCATTGAATGAGCCCTCGAGCCCCAATGAACCGATTTCTCGGAAAAAGAACTCCTCAGCAGAAAATCGTTGCCTTTCGCATGCACGCAGCAGAGATCCATTTAAACAAAAATAAGGAAAAAAGAAAAAGCAAAATCAGCTCGTTTCTATCTATTTCCTTTCATGAACGAATTAGACGCCAGTGAGAGAAGAAAAATGGATTGGAAAAGGGGAAAGTGTTGACGCGAACGGCGAATACGCTTAAATCTGAATATTTTAACAAAATGATGAGAAAAATTGGGAAGATGACGGTGCAAGTTAGCCTAGTTTTGGGCAGACATTTTATTATGCGCCGTTTACGATATATTTTAAAATTTCAATCAAAATAAGTAAATAAGTAAAATAACTCGTGCAAATCGATATTTATAAAATTACACTAAGAAACAAAGTATGGGTCATATATAATTTAATACGTCTGTGTATATATGCAATATTCGTGTTTTTTGTATTGTTCTAATCATTATCAATTAAAAATTTTATTCGGCCTGGGTTTTTTATTTTACATCGGGCTATCTAACTTCTAAAAAAAACATGGACTCGTATGAGGAATCATGCCAGGTCTAATCCGATTGATCCATCCATAAATGAGTTGTTATATTCCTGCAAAAATTTCATAAATTCTATGAAGTCATCTGATGGTTTTTTTATGGAGCCATTCACCACTTAATGTGTTGACACCTGTCCAAATTGTATTTATTATAAGACACGTGTCAATACATTATTGGTGAATAAGTGTAGATGACTCTATAAGTGGAGCCAACTCCACAATAAAACTGTATATTCCTGTTGAATTTCTGCACTCTAAAAAGTAACATATCTTTTCAAATTGATGTAATTGGAACAAAAAAAAAACACTATTAAACATTTTACTATCTATATATATATAATAAGAATTAACATTTAACAAAAATAGTAGCAAAAAAATAGGAGAAAATTTAATGCAACTTATAAATAGTAAGTCTTTTTTATTTTATATTTTTATCTTTAAAAAATCATACTAACATTAAATGTTGCATTAATTTTGGGTTTAATTCATTTTATTATTTAAAAATTCCAGCTAAGATCTATTAAGTGTGCATTTTTTATTTTTATTTTTTTCATATACACACCGAGTAACATTAAAATCTAAGTCTCTATATTTATAAAATCTCAATTCAAAAGGTAATAAAATTTTAGAATATTGGTCTTTATATTTATGCCTTTCAAAAAAAAGATATTGAATGCTATTCTTTACATATCATTTTTCAATAATCATCACAATTTTTTTTATTTAGAACGTGTGATAATAAACTTGGTAACGTTTATTATTATTTTTTTTACCAATCTATTATATTTTTATACTCGCAAAAGGTAAAATAATTTTTAAATTCTCAGTCTCAATAATTGTGCATTTATAAAAATATATTTAATGATAATATATTACCTGTTAATAGTACACAATTTTGAAAACTCCATTATAAATTGTATGTTGATATCCAAATCATTTTATAAATGCAATTGACTTTGTTAAATATCCACGAAAATATGGTAAATAAAATTAGACAATCAACTTTGTATGGAAATAAAATAGAATCAATAAATCAACGTGAAGTTAAGAGAAAATTAACATAATGAATAATTTGTATAGTACACGGATCTAAAAATTAATACTCACGTGGATTCTAAAATTCAAACTTATACTTATCATCATCTTTTGGAAATTGAATAATATATTGTAGGCAAGATTTTTTTAAATAATTTTAACATGTTTTATTTATAAAATAGTTTAGAAAAAATTTAGGTGACTTCACATCTTTCAATAAGGATATATAAAATTTTAGATACTTTACATACGTTATATAATATTTTAGGTGTTTTTAATATTTTAACCATACATTTTTTATATTATTTTATACAAGATAATTTTATATTGTTTACATCTGATATACAATATTTTAGGTGTTTTTAATATTTTAAACATACATTTTTTATGTTATTTTATACAAGATAATTTTATATTGTTTACATCTGATATACGATAAATTATGTCACACATGAACTCCACATCTTAATTACAATTATTAATTAATATTGTTTACTATCATCTTTAATTTATAATTAATATTTAATATTATTTACCCGTGCATCGCACGGGCTACACACTAGTCTTTACCTAAATATCTTGTCTTGAAATTTCAATTTCATGATACTTGTATAACTCAAATGCCAGGCTTACTATCAACAAATAATTAGGCCCTGAGCGGACACTCTAATTTTAGGTTACAAATTCGTCATTTTCACTACATGACACTGGCAATAAATTTTATATTGATTAAATAATAATAATAATAATAATAATGAAAAAACATAACTAACCTCATTATATTAAATCCTTTCTTCAAAAAATATACTCCAATCCCCGTAACCACCCCATTATCTTTTATCTCTCTATTTGAATAGTTGTCAAAAGACATTAAGCAACAAAATTGATGTTGCAAGAATTCCAAAGACAAGAAAGCTGACTAGACTCCCACTTCCATGGAACCCGATTAAAAACGTCTTATACCAAAACTGAAAACCATTCAAAACAGAGGTACCAAAATGAAATTTTCCACTTTTCCTCCCCTTCCTAAATTCCCATGCGGCTTCAGCTATAAATACATTTTAGCTCCACAGTATTTTCTCACAACTAAAGTAGCCAAAAAAAATGGATCCTTTCTGGGCACTACTGGCCTTACTCTGCATTGCCACAACAGCCTTCATCTCAAAAATATGCCGGCCCGAACCCAAACTCCCGCCCGGCCCAAAACCGTGGCCCGTTATCGGCAACCTCCACCTCATCGGCCCCGTCCCACACATATCCCTCACTCTTTATCCCGAAAATACGGCGAACTAATGCTCCTAAAGTTCGGAAAATTCCCTGTTGTCCTGGCCTCGTCCCCCGACATGGCGAAACAGTTCCTTAAGACCCACGACGCGGTTTTCGCCTCCTGACCCCCACTCTCCGCCGGAAAATACGTTTCCTACAACTACTCGGACATGACGTGGGGCCCGTACGGCCCACAATGGCAGCAAGCCCGTAAAATCTACCTCTCGGAGGTTTTCAACGCCAAGAGCCTCGACTCGTTCGAGCACGTCCGGGCGGACGAGCGGGCCAATCTCATCTCCCGGCTGTTTTCCCGGTCAGGCGAGCCCGTCGTGCTCAGGAAGCACCTAATGCGCTACACGCTCTCGACCACGTGCCGCATGTTCGTGAGCGAGAAAATCTTCGAGAGGTCGGGCGTGTCGCTCGACGACCTGCAAAGGCTTTTGGATGAGTGGTTCTATCTTAGCGGTGTGGTGAATACCGGCGATTGGGTGCCGTGGCTAGATTTTCTCGATCTTCAAGGGTACGTTAAGCAGATGAAGGGTTTTAAGAGGAAGATCGACGGGTTCCTTAGCCACGTGATTGATGATCGTAAGGCTGTGCAGAGGTCGACGAAGAAAGACGTGGTGGACGTGTTGTTGCGGCTTGCAGAGGACACGAATCTTGACATTAAGATGACGAGGGATCGTGTCAAGGCGTTGTTACAGGTACCGAATCGAAACTAGTTTTTTCGGAGATATTAGTATTTATGGTCTTGAATGAGCTTTTTAGGGTATGGTGATTTGATATGAATTTGAAATGTACGTAGTGATCAAAGTTGATGTAATATAAAATGTAAGAGAGAAATTATTGGAAGTGACAGCGTGACAAGCAAGTGCATGAATAATGAATTAAATTATTTAACTATATTAATAATACTAAGGAGAATTAGACTAATCATGAGTTGGATTTTGAGTTAAAAGATTGGAAACAAAATAACCCAATCGATCAAATTAGATTAAAATCAATTTTGTCTCATATCCAAACGCGTCCTCAGCACTTGATATATCTACAGAACCTACTAGTCGGAGGCACAGATACGACAGCAACCACGGTCGAGCGGGCCATACTCGAGATTCTCAAGCACCCCCACGCAATGGAGAGGGCTAAAGACGAGCTCGACTGGGTAATCGGGGGAAACCGATGGGTCTAGGAGAACGACTTCTCCCGACTGCCCTACATCGAGTCCATCATCAAGGAGACGCTAAGACTCCACCCGCTCGCCACTCTACTCGTGCCACATTACTCACTCGAGGACTGCAATGTGGCAGGCTACCACGTGTTGACAGTGGCGAAACCAGGATCCCAGCACGGGGAGGGCCCAGATTCATCTTCTTCCGGGCCTCCGGCGGCATCGGAAGGGTGCTCAAAGGGCACCCTTCTATTTCTAGCCCCTTCGATTGCCTCAACCTCTCACCAAAACCCCCAAATTTTTTTTTTTGGGAGGGCCGGCACCACTCCGGCCCTCAATGTGGTTACGCCACTGCGTGTCGAAGGGGACAATGGTCCTCATCAACGCGTGGAGCATTGGGCGGGACCCACGTACCTGGGAAGAGCCCGAGAAGTTCTGGCCCAAGAGGTTCTTGGGCAGTAACTTCGCACTATTGCCGTTCGGGTCGGGCAGGAGGAGGTGCCCGGGGTATGGCCTCGGGCTTAGAATGGTCCGAACGACACTGGCGAATTTGGTGCATGGGTTCGATTTTAGGTTGACCGAGGGAATGAGCAGAGCAGATATATGTATGGAGGAGGAGTATGGGCTCACTACACACCCCAAAGTTCGTCTTTCAGTAATTATGGAGCCTACTCTTCCAAGCCACCTTTACTAAAAAAGGATTTACTCTGTTTGTTTCTTCCAAATAATGCATCATTTGTTAATTGGTGGCTGTAGTTTTATTATTGTTGTACTCTATGAAAATGCCAAAATGGTGGTTTTTAAGTATGTACTTTGACACTTGTTTGAGAGAATAAAGTAATGCATATGTTCCTCCCCAGAGCGGATATAATGAGGGGGGCTCATTATTTAATGAAAAAATATAAATTATCATAACGAAAAATATAAATACAAAGACATACCTTCATAATCGTTCATTACCAGTTTTCATGGTCTGATATCGCTCGATAATAACATCATTATTAATTTTCAAGAAGGTTTCTTTTTCAAAGTATATCATTTTGAAATATTTTTACAAGCACTTTGTTGACGAGACATTTTTTAATAATATTTCTCAATATTTGATATACAAAAAAAAATATTATAAATATACAATCAATAAAATTTTCTATTTCGGCATATCAGGCTTTAAAGAGCTATAATCACATTAAAGATTGAATTTGTAATTTATACGTAAAAAGAATATATTTACTACTACCTAAAAAATAAAGATAAATATTTTTTTATCTCCACCCAAATAAATATAAAAGGATTTCGTTACCTCGCAAGTCGTCTTCTCGAACAATTGGAACAAAAATTGATAACCTTTGTGAATCTTTTCTCTCTTCCCCTCTCCTCTTTTTCCTCTTTTCTCTTTGTCTCTGTAACTTTGTTCTTACATGAAGTTCTTGTGTGAAGTTAAAAGTATCAGCCCTTATTATTTGTTTGTTAAATCTATGTAATACTAATTTTTCTGTTAAAGCTTTATTATTTGGATTTATAATTAGATTTGTTTTTTTTAATAGGCATAATATGTGGGCTATATATATAGGTCATTTTTTTTCTAGTGTGGGCCTAGGCCTACACTGGTCTCAATAAGGCTCCAACTCTGTTCCTCCCTTAAGGGTCCATGTTTTAGCTAGTTGTATTTTTTTGTCTGAGTTGACCCGAGCCTCGAGCAAGACGAGCTTGAGGTCGAGCAAATGTGAAAAATCAAACATGAGACTCAATATACAACGAATGCTCGGTTGACTCGTTTGCAGATCTATTCTTCCCTTTCATGAACCAGCTCGTTCTATTTCTTTCCTTTCATTAGCGAATTAGACGCGAGTGAGAGAAGAAAAACGGAAAATGAATTGGAAAAGGGGAAAGTGAGGACGCGAATATGCTTAATTCTAAATATTTTAACAAATCTATTACGATGAACTCGATTAAAATATATTTATTAATATTTATAAATTAAAAATTTTCATTAAATAATATTTATAAATTAAAAATATGGAATTAGCATGTAATGCAATTTACCTATATTAATTTATTGAAAATGTTATATAAAATTTAAAATAGTAACGAATTAAAAAAAATGAGAATTCAAAATGAATTATTTATTCTCACCTCCTAATCATGAAACATAATTTCCAAGTAAGTTTTATATTCAGCAGCAAATTTATTTTCAATTATTCGAATTGCTCGCAACTTCATATGTAGTTTCTTGGTTAATTCTAGTGACTTTCTTGATCAAAACGAATTCGAACTTTAACCTTAATTGAATAAAAAATAAAATTGGATCTTGAATATTAAAAACAAAATCAAACGAAGGATAACTACAAATAGTTGAAAAATGACTAAATTTATGGGGGAAGAACAAAGTATAATTTAGTTAAATATCATAAATATTTGATATGGAAATTATATAAAAGCTGCAATAAATCAATTTAAAATTGTACAAATTCTTTAGTACACGATTTTTGTTATGTAAAAATTTTACTTCCTTTAATACATCATTTTTGTACTATAAGAATTTTACTTTGTTTGGCAATTACATTTTTGTTTAATTTTAAACCAAATTCTCATTTAATTTAAATATGGTATAATTGTTTTTTATTTTGGACAAAATTCAATTTAAAAATATTATTTTGTTGATCAATTGGGATGTTACTAAATCTTATTGGAATATTACTTATCGATCAATTATGGTATGGGTAGATGATTGTTATGTTACGATTGGTATCTCAATTTTCTTTTTGTTATGGTTGTTAAGTTGTGTGATTGATTTTCTGTAATTGAAATAAATTGATCGATTTACATAAATATATATACCAAATATTTTGATATGTTCCACACACATTTACAAAGAAGTATCGACCGTAGTATTCTCCAAAATTTTCTTTCATTAATATCGAGTAATATGTTTAGAAATATGAAAAAAAATATTGAGACACCATTTTTTTTACCATAAGCGGGTATATTGGATCAATATATAGTATACCATATAATTCGATTTCATATTTTATCGATAAAATATTAAAATTAATATTCAATTTTACCACAAAATTAATTACCCAGCATACAAAGCAAAATTGAGTCCCTAAGTTTTTTATAGATAAACATAAAAAAAGGCCCAAAAAAGTTATTAAAAATAATTAAATAGAAACTGCCATTAACACAATTATTTTGGAACAACTTTTTTTAAAAAAAATATAATTGAATAAATCAACTTAATTTACACAATCTGCGTAATTAAGGTATCTTAGAAATATAAATTTTTATGATCTAATTATTTCCTTAATTATCACGATTTGAATAATTAAATACACAAAAAATGAATAATATTTATTAAATAATATTTAAATAAAAATTGTCATTAACACAATTTTCTATAACAGCTTTTTACAATTTGCTTAATTGATTATTGTTGTACGTATTTCCATAATTGTAGTAATTATTTGCATATTGAATAAATCAGTCGAATTTACACAATTTTAGTAATTAAGTTATATTAAAATTGCATTTCACAAAATAATTACATGAAAAATATTAAATACTTATTAAATAATAAATTATACAATTTAGTTGGAATTTCTTTACCAAATCACATAATTGATATTGCAGCCGAAATTTCCATATTTGAGTAAATCAGCTGAATCCACATGATTTGAGTAATTAAGGTATCTTAAATATATATTTTTTATGGCTTAATTATTTTCTTAAATAATGTACTGCAATTTCCATAAGTGATTATTGAAAATATACCATAAATTGTTAAATTAATTTCCTAAAATAATAAATAGATTATTTTTTTGAGTTGAAATCGTTACTATTTAAAAAATAATCAAATCTTTATATATATATATATATATATAT